ACGTCGACATGATGGGGGGATGGGAAAAGCCAAACGGGGATGCTCTGCATTGCATACGGTTCATGAGCCCAAACGACCGATAATTGCAACGCGATATTTTGCCCAGGACAAAAGGATCCGTAGAGATCGGTCCTACCATTCCAGTCGCGAGTCGAGTCCAAGAGATCTCGGGTCCGAAGTATGGGCGTACGTACTCGGTGATGTTCTCGGTGATTGTTCGGAATTTGTTCAGTCTTGTCTGGAAGCTTTGTTTTCTTCCTCCTCCTCCGTTCGAGCAACTGTAGTCCCGGTCGTGCTGAGAATGTATGATCTTCTGGAAGTGAGCTTCAATCATGATGCAAGTTCCTTTACGTCGCCTAAATTTAGTCGTGTTGAAGCTCGTCGTTCGGATTGGGAGAATAACAGGCGTAGGTAAGCGCTCACCTTCCGATCAGGCTTTGGATCCAAGTTTTGATCGATCGGGAACGACAGCGCGCCCAGCGAGAGGAGAGGAGGAGTAATTTCTCAATATTTTAGGTACGGGAGATCATTGGGGGGCAAGGGCACGCCTCCACCCGCTTGCATTGTCTTCATGTCTAAGCTCTGGTTCGGGACAACTGGCCTATCACAGGCTTCGTCCATTTCGCGGATACGAGTACTGTTAACAGAAAGGTGGGGGCGATAAGGGGCCTCGGAATATTTTGCAGGAATCGTACTCATGCCTCCAGTACTTGCACTCAATAATGGAGAAGGAAACCACAGTGAGCCACATGCTGTTTGGATGCTGGGATAAACAAGATCCTTTAGGAAAGTGTGCAATTATAAAGTATAACGTTACAGAACTCCAAGAGGCTCATGCTTTCGGGCTCTCCTCCTTCTCCTGGGCATGGGATGCCATCCGCAATGCAAAGCCGAGGCAACGCCCGAAAAGAACATTGATTACGCTCTCTCGCTCTCCCTTTCCTTCCCGCGACGTCGTTGCTCCACCGAGTATCCATGGGCTGGACAAATCAATTTTCTCCTTTCATCAACCAATCCCGCATTCGACATCCGCTGTATATGTGCAGCACCCATGCCCAACGCAAATAAAAGCAGAGTCAAACGAAGAAATGTGAAGATTTCCAAACAAAAGAAGAGGGCCGCTGAACAACTCAGAGGCTACCTTTTTGAGGTTGATTGCACTGGTTCTCATTATGATTAGCCGTGCACAAGTTGCGAGAGTAAGTGATCATTTAATTTTCAGATGTACTGGTCTCTTGTTTGGGCTGAAGATATACTAGGGGGGTTTTGAACCTGGTGCCATTGGATACATTTTAGTGCGCCTTGTTATAATTTCCAACAATGCCTTTGTACACACCACTTTGTAATGGCCTCATTACGAGATTGTTCATATTTACCATTGGGCATTATTGCGTTCCTAGATACACACCCAAATTGGGATGTATTGAGTAATATAAGCCCTCTTAACATTGTGTCATGTGTGATTTTCCACAACAGTTTGGACTGGCTTCGTTACGAGCTCATAAGACAGTATCATTGGTCATAAGTGCATATTTAGAAACAAAGCAGAAATTATTTCACATGTATTTTACATATGAATGGAGATATTTGGTAATATCGTCTCATGCGTATGTAGTCTTGGAGATTACAGTGAACAAATTTGTATGTGTTATATTTTTGTTAACCTTCTCCAAGATTCTTTTAATATTATGTTTATTAGCATCCGTAAGAGTAAATCACAGCTGTAACAATCTATCATAAATGTTTGACGATATGATACATTTGAATTATCCATACTTGTCATGAATCATCATAAAATTCGTGCATGGTTATGTGTCTTCATTGTCATGCAGATTTCATAGATCACGCTGTTCATCATTTCAATACTTGATGTCATTTCGTATACTGGAGAGTTTTTTTTATAAATTCTATATCAAATTATTTATTTACCTTTTTTCTCGTATTTATGTCCCGAAAGCATGAATCATTTTGAGTTATAGTTTTGTACATTCAAGAGTAAAAAAAAAAAAAGTCATGTAAAATTTTTTCTTATGCTACATATGCACAACGCTTATCAAGCATATATTACATTATCACGATAGTTTTTCATCTGGATTAATATTTAAAGATCAAATCAGCCTTGATGACTGATATCTATATGAAAAAGTATTATTCCAGTGGGGCCACGTAGATATAAACAAAGTGTAATAATTGTATAAAATCGTACAAAACAGAAAATCAACAATGATATTGTGATGAGATGTATCTCCTGCAGAAACTATCTCAACCCATTATATATGAACTATACAAAATTATATGAATAAGTTGGAAGAGGTCAAACAACGCATTTTGTGTTTAAAGTTGAGCTTGATAGTTTCCTTATACTCATGGATTTCACCGGAGTCTTGTAATTTACTTTAACGGAGAAAGCATTTTTACAGGCTTCACACTATTTCTCATTGGATATTATCTTGAACTATAAATTTTTTCCTTTTTTCTCATTGACAAGGTTGGATGCTCATGAGTATGGAGTCAAGCTTGAATAATGTGTTTCAACCTGCCCTAGTTATCTAATCTACTTCAATGGAGTTTCATCTTGTCTTGATTTACTCATGTACATCTTCAAATTTCACATGTGTGTTTGATACAAACTTAACTGTAGCAAGTGAGTTTTGATAATTTGGAGTTTGGAATAAAATTGATCATTATGTCATAGAGATGTAGATTTTGCTACGACACGAGAAAGTTGAGTCTCCATACGGAAGGAGCGTTAATACGTTTTGCAAGGTACTCCTGTTTGGTAAAACCTATATTTGGTTCGGAAGGATCATCTGATAGTTTATGTTGATTATGCTCCCCAGTGAATGACTGATCACACTGGTAACTCATCGGGAGTATGAATCACAAGTGGAGTACGAAACCAAGTGTAAGGATATGATAGAGTTTGTGCCTTCGATCTTATAAGTTGAAGTTATATGGAACTATTAATGACATCTTCGATACTAATTTTTGCACTAGGGCATTATAGATCATGTGGTTCGGTATTATTCTTTTAAAATAGCCACACTAGATTTGCACACTAAAATTTATCAGTTGCATGACATTCTGTCATAAGAAATATAAAAGCAATCAACTTAGATGATGATTCTTCGTAAATGTTATATGAGTGAAATCACAGTTAAAGTATTATGTATTTTGATGCGATTCGAATCTATGCGCAATCTTACCCCGTGGGTTGATAGTAGTTGATGATGGGGTTTTCACGTACTTTTACCCTTGGCAATGTAGCCGGCCGTCAATATCTTCATTCGATTTTCACCCAGAGAGTGCAAGTCGCAATGGCATCCTCGGCAAAGCAACGCGAGGAAAGGGAAGGCGTCGCGACGGGGCCCAGCGATGAGCGGAGTACGACGCAGGCGTACGTCCGACTATCCTTCAGGACAGTGGCGGTAGAGTCTGCGCAGCGGAAGGCAGCGGGCGGAAATCCGGTCATGGCAGCCCATGGAGAATCTGGGTCATGATTACGGGACGGGCTCCGGTTCGGGAGTGGGAGAGTTCACCACAGGACTCGCGGGTGACAGCGACACAGCAGATAACGACCCGCTAAATGTACTATCGGATTTCATCATGGATCCAATCGACGGACGAGCGTGTCTCAGAGGACGAGCGTGTCGCCCGCACGCTGGCCAGAATTACTCACCCATCGGAAACCCTAAAGGGATGATGCGCTCGGGGGACGGGTTAGGGAGAGATTAGGGAGGGATTAGAGTAGGGGCTGATGGGGTCATTTAGACTTCGCAGGAAAATGGAGGTAGAGCCTGTGGGCGGGCCGCGGAGTGTACGCTGTCGCCTGCTGGCACCATTAAGGGACCAGGGGCGATCCTTCGGAGCACCGACAGAAATGTCAGCGGCTTCTAAATTGGCGGTCATCTTCCCCTTCCGGACTCGTAAGTACACCATAACGTAAAGTCACTGCTCGCGGGCCGGATTTAGAGGCAGGTAGAGTAAGGGCCAGATGTGGCGACGACGGGCGCTGACCGTGTGGGGATGGGATGGGCTGCCGCCTCACTGGCAGGCACACGCAGACGACAGTGCCTCCCGACCGAACGTGCGAGACCACCGCGCTCGGGCGCGTGGTTTGAGGCCTCGACAAGTGGGGAGCTCGGTTTCTCCCCCCTCGTGGTTTCGTGGCGGACGTGAGCCGCACGATGCCTCCCATCGACGGCATCCCCGGCGCTCATCCAGCCTCGCCCGCCGCGCCCCGGAAACGGTGCGCGCTACCGGGCTCCCAACCTCGCCCCGCCAGAAATCCAGCCGGCCAGCCGGCGCCGGTGAGAGCGAGCGAGCGAGCGACCGGTCAGGTGAAAAAAAACTAGATCCCCGGCGCTCGGCGGCCCCGCCCGCTCCCGAGTCCGAACCGCCCCCCGGAGAAGACTGAGACGAGAACGAGAAGGAGAACGAGGGGGCCCGGAAGTTGCCCGGACCATAGAACGGACCCCACGAGGAACCCGCTGCTCGCTCGCTCGCTCCATCGATCGATCCATGGATCGAGAGCAGGTGGCCCGGGTTGGGCCTTGCTGAGTTGTGCGCTTGGACGCTACGGGGAATTGATGGGTCGACGGAGTGCGCGGCTGTAGGCTGTAGCGTGCGTGTGCATGATAGAGAGCCGATCCGCGGGACGACAGTGGCGCGAGCGGGGAGCCATGGCCTCTCTGGGACGAGGAGGGGCCGCCGAGAGGTTTTAGGGATATGGGGGAGACTCTTGTTTGGCGCTATTTTGCGTGCTGCTCGCTCGATCAGCAGCTACTGTACGTACCGCTACCACTGTACCCAGTTGTCCGGTAGATGAGCAGTGGGTGGAGACGAAATACCTCTCTGGCCCCCCTTTCGACGACGAGGTGAGACGGTGGTGGCCGATAGGCGGATAGAGAGATATACATAGACGTAGCCGGATAGATAGAGATAGACACGGGGTATAAATATAAATATTGGAGCAGCAGCAGCAGGCAGGCAGGCAGCAGCTTAACCCATCTCAGCAACACGACAGGCGGGGACGGGTCTGCGGGTAAAAATCTCCCGTGGAACGGACGGTGCCAGATGAGTGAGCATCGAGGCCCGAGCCGCAGGAGTTAGAACAGCGGCCCCTTTTCAAACCCCGCCGGGGCTCTCATTTCTGCCCATCTCACTTCTCCTCTCCTCTCCTCCTCTTCAGTCGCTCGTCGTCGCTGCGGAAGGGAAGCGCGGGACTGACCGAGGGAGCGAGAGACGGAGATTGAGGGAGCGCGGCCCTGCTGCCTTCGTGAGCGAGCTGAGCAGCGATGGCGGAGACCATCCTCGGCGCTACGTTTGTGACGATTTTCATCCCGGCCTCGTGCCTCATCGGAATCCTGTTCGCGCTTCTGCAGTGGTATGTCGTCTCTTTGGTAAAGGTCGGAGGCGGCAGCTCCAGCAATGGAAACAAGAACGGACACTCAGACTACTTGCTGGATTCCTCCGAGGAGGGAGGCGACGAAGCCTCTGTCATTGAGAAGGTGAAGAGCATCCAGGAGGCCATTTCTGAAGGTAAGAGATTTTAGCCCGTCACGAACGCGGATCAACGTGCATTGTCGACGTGAGCTCGTCGAATGTAGTCCCTGCGACCTGTGCCAGTGACTCCCAGCTTCCCTATCCTACGCACCTTCGTGCACTGGCTTTAGTGGCCCGACGATTGATTTCTTCTGAGATATCTTTCACCGTTGTATTGTTCGTGGACTATGAAAGAATGACGTAGGGGCCATTGTGAGGATAGTGTCATCTTTTGACCGTGTATTGAGGATTGCGGACACGGCTCTCTTAAGGCTGAAGTGGTTTTTTAGATTTTAGCCGGGGAGTAGATTGGATTTTTTCAGAGGCGCTGGTCATGGCTCTAGTTCTACACAGGAAGTTTCCCCGCCCTCTTCCGACGTGTCAGGTTTTATGAATGTAAAACAGCACGAAGCTGGTCCCTCGGAAGTAGTTTGGGAATGTCGGTGCTGCTGCTGTGGTTTCTGTGACCACCCCTGCCACCAAAGGATGGATGTTGGCAGGGACTTGAACTTCGTGCAATTGTTCTGCCTGATCTGATTAGTAGATCAAACACAGTGGATCTGCAGTTTCTGCCATGCCCGATTTTTTTCGTATCTGATGGAGTGAAAGGCGCCGGCGAGAATGTCCAGACCTCAGAGCTAATGCCTCGGTCTCGATCCGGAACCGTAGGAATGGGTAGTAGACAGTGCTGCATAATAGCGTTACAGCTAATAGCAGTTGCCTGCAGCACCCGACGGCGTCGACAGCTTACGCACCTCGCGTTGGTCACTTAAGCATGGGAGTTTAGTGTTTTGGATCCATATCCTCAAGCCCAAACTTCTGCCGTTGACGCGAGCGTCCTAGTCTCCCGTGTTGGCACCTGGAAGAAAACATTTCGTCAGATCTAGCGGGCTACGTCACAGGAAAGAAGTCACCACACTAGCACGGACGGCCTCTGGGGAGTCTACGAGTAGATGGTGTCGTAGCGTGTGAATTGCAACAGTCGTTTTAATCATGCCAGTTTCTTATGCTTCACATTTTTGCAGGTGCGGAGTCATTTTTGGTGACGGAGTACAAGTACCTCGCCATCTTCATGAGTCTGTTCTCTGTTATCATCTTCCTCTTCCTCGGCTCCGTGGGAGGATTCAGTACCGACCTGGTTCCATGCACACACGACTCCGCCGAGTTGTGCTCAGCTCCCCTGGCAAATGCAATCTTCACCACCATCGCATTTATTCTTGGTGCTCTGACCTCCACCTTCTCAGGATACCTTGGAATGAAGATTGCAACCTACGCCAATGCCAGAACTGCCTTGGAGGCAAGGAAGAGCGTTGGACAGGCTTTCATTGTTGCCTTCCGTTCCGGAGCTGTCATGGGATTCTCCCTGGCTGCTAGCGGGCTCCTCGTCTTGTTCATCACAATCCTTCTCTTCAAGATTTACTACGGAAACGACTGGGTTGGTTTGTACGAGGCCATTACCGGATACGGTCTCGGTGGATCATCCGTCGCCCTGTTCGGTCGTGTTGGTGGTGGGATCTACACCAAGGCTGCTGATGTAGGAGCTGATCTCGTCGGCAAGGTCGAGAGGAACATCCCCGAGGATGATCCCAGGAACCCTGCGGTATGTGCGTGGCCTTGATGCCCGAATAATATGATTACCATTGTTTTTGGTCGAATCTCCTCTAATCTTCACATTTCTCTGACCATCGGCACCCGAAAACTTCTACAGGTTATCGCTGACAACGTCGGAGACAACGTTGGAGATATTGCCGGTATGGGAGCAGATTTGTTTGGATCATTCGCCGAGTCTACCTGTGCTGCTCTCGTCATTTCCTCCATCTCGTCTTTCGGACAGGAGAGGAGCTTCGTCGCCATGAGCTACCCACTGCTTATCAGCGCTGTGGGTATCATTGTCTGCCTCATCACTGCTCTTTTCGCCACCGACCTGTTCGTCATTAAGAACGTTGATCAGATTGAGCCCGCCCTGAAGAGGCAGTTGGTCATCTCTACCGTCCTCATGACTTTGGGAGTTTTCGCCGTATCCTACGTTGCTCTACCCAGCACATTCTTGATCAACGTCATCGGAAAGGAATCACTTCACGCCAAGTGGTGGTAAGTGCAACTTTCTGAGCGTACGAAGGGCCCGTTTTTTCAAAGCTGAAACCTCCATGAATTTTTGGAATGGTGTCTTAGAAATTAGCCGTGCTGATCATCTGCACTTGAACCTCGCAGGCACGTGTGGTTGTGTGTCGCCTCTGGTTTGTGGGCCGGTCTTCTCATCGGTTACGTGACCGAGTACTTCACCTCCAACACCTACAGGTGAGTTTAGCTTTTTATCTCGGTCAGACTTTGGGATTACATTTTGGCCATCGGTGTTCCATCTCGAAGGAACTCACACATGTATTATCTATCTCCAGCCCCGTCCGAGAAGTTGCCGATGCCTGCAAGACCGGAGCTGCTACCAACATTATTTTCGGAATGGCACTTGGATACAAGTCCGTCATCGTCCCCGTGTTCGCCATTGCTGCTTCCATCTACCTCAGTTTCACATTCGCTGCCATGTACGGTATTGCCGTCGCTGCTCTCGGTATGTTGGGAACTCTCTCCACCGGCCTTGCCATCGATGCTTACGGTCCCATCAGTGACAACGCTGGAGGTATCGCTGAAATGGCTGGAATGAACCACGCCGTGCGCGAGAGGACCGACGCTCTTGATGCCGCTGGAAACACCACCGCCGCCATCGGAAAGGTGAGTCTGCGTGACACGTTCATTTGTTATTGTGTCGTTTCCTTTGATCTTTGCACCCGGTGAACTTACTCTCGGATTTGCGTTCTCGCAGGGATTCGCCATCGGATCAGCTGCTCTTGTGTCCCTTGCTCTGTTCGGAGCTTACGTGAGCCGTGCAGGAATCTCCATCGTCAACGTTATTGAGGCTCAGACCTTCGTCGGTTTGATCGTCGGGGCCATGCTGCCATACTGGTTCTCTGCCATGACCATGAAGAGTGTCGGTACGGCCGCTCTTGCCATGGTTGAGGAGGTGAGGAGGCAGTTCAACACCATGGACGGTATCATGGAGGGTCGCGTCAAGCCCGACTACAAGAGATGTGTCGCCATCTCCACCGATGCTTCCCTCAGGGAGATGATCCCCCCAGGCGCCCTCGTGATGCTCACCCCCATCATCGTCGGTACTCTTTTCGGAGTCAACACTCTTGCTGGACTTCTGGCCGGAGCTCTCGTTTCCGGAGTCCAGGTACAGTAAATCCAGTAATTGATGCTTTCTAATGGACGAACTCCTTGTTGCACATCAATCCATGGCTTGCATACGCTTTATCACCGTGAAGTAATCGTGGAGCCTTTGGACTGTGGCACAGATTGCTATCTCCGCCTCCAACACCGGAGGAGCTTGGGACAACGCCAAGAAGTACATCGAGGTACGATTTCCCTCTGAGACGGGCTTAAATTCCACCATAGAAGATCGATTTCCGATTCGAGGTGAGGTAGGATTTCATTAGATCGGTGAGGTTTTAAATTCTTGCTATATTGATCCCGTGTTGGCTCTGTGTAGGCCGGTGTCTCCGACCACGCCAAATCTCTGGGCCCCAAGGGATCCGACGCCCACAAGGCTGCCGTCATCGGAGATACCGTGGGAGACCCCCTGAAGGATACCTCCGGACCATCTTTGAACATTTTGATCAAGTTGATGGCCGTCGAGTCTTTGGTGTTCGCTCCTTTCTTCGCCGCTCACGGTGGAATTTTGCTCAAGTACCTTTCATAGATTGTCTGTGCAGTGCAGCTTGTATCTCGAGCGAGGAACGTTGCGTGCGAGATATGTTAATATATGATGCTTTCACACCGAGGAGTAGGAGCCTTGTGAATGCAAGTCCGCATCATGGGCCATCTCATTCTTTCCGAGCGTAATGTCTGAAAATATTGATCACTGCAGCTGAAGTCTTGCCGCAGAGTTCCTTTATTAGCGTAGTGTCTCAGACTGAACGTTGATAGGATAATTTCAACATATTTGGAACTAATCAATTTTGCTCTTCTGTAATCAGTTTTGGGCCCGAACATTCCTCAGTAAAGCTTGATCTGGTCCACACAAAATGCCTTTGATTTGTACGTGGATGAGAGTTCTCTGTTTGTCGTCGTACGTGGTTCCTTTTATGACCAGGCAATCTTGGAAGTGGATTGGCATGACGTTGTGATGGGAGGATTAGAGTGGAAGATATAGATTTCTCCCCAAAAATTCATGATGCGACTGATTCTTATGGATTTTATTGTGTCTGGAATATGATTGATGAATCTTGATGAGTCAGAGTAATGTCGCAACTAGATTGCATGTTCCAATGGAAGTGAATTGGAGGTCATTAAAACGATTAGAGAGGGGGATTAGATAACGATGAAGTATGTTGCACAAAAGAATATTGAGAGGTGAGGAAATAGCAAGTTGCGGGAGGAACAGTTGAAAAATATTTGTTAAGTTGCAACAATGTGCCTCTTGTTTAAAAAAAGATATATCTACGATTTACCAGATGTTTGGATGAAAGTTTTGATTGATGGAATAAATTTGTTGTGCCAATGTATACTGCCGTGATGATTGAAAATTGATGGTCATATTAAAGATAAAACGGAATCCTCTTGAAAACCTCAATAAAATTGAGCCAACGATCATGGAATCCACCGTCAGCCAATAACAGTTCCTGTAATTCGCTATTACTCTCTTTAGTGTGGAAAGTATTTGTCTGTTTGTCGGCCCGGAATATCAGTGTGTATATAAAGTTGTCGGCCCGGAATATTTACGGGACTCGATCGTGGTCATGTCCGGGAAAACGACGCGCACCACAAGTCTGAAGTTTTCTTGACATGATCTTGCCGTCACTTTATCTTCCTACAGGAATACAATTGACGGGAGGCGGGCCGTCGATGGGGTGTATCTTAGGGTAAAGTGAAAACTGTAGGGTGTCCTCCTCAAGAGGGTTAAGTTTCCCGGCTCCCATCAAATAATTTAATCAAATTAAAAAGAATAACATTTTCGAAATGTTCGTGTACACCATTTCGCTTACTCAAGAAAAGACTGTTTGTATCGAATTATTGAACATACTCATAGTGGTTAAATATCTGTAACAAACAAATGAAAGCCTGTGAGCTGAGGTCTGTGCACCGCAAGGAAACGAGTTTGAGACTCTCAATACGATGATTTTAACGTCCAAACCTTCTTTGACATAAGACGATATTGCGCATTCGTGCGGCCAAAATACAGAGGGTAAGTTTTCACTCAGTCCAGTGTAATCAATTGAGAAACGCAGATCGGATACCTTAAAGCGAGGCTCGAAAGATCAAAACTGGTAACAATGAAGGTGAGGTACAGTGTGACAACACCAAACTCTATCTTTACAAGAAATCAGTTCCCATCGTCCACAGAACAAGACAACTTCTACATATTAACATTCTCCGACACGACATCATCAGTTTCTGAATATCAACAAACAGTCTACTCTATAGAGCTGGACTCAGACAAAACATCAGTTAGCGAGCGATAATCAGCAGAAATGATTGTCCACCATCCCCCTTGGCAACCCTCTCTTGTCCGCTACTGAACCAAAAGGGTGAGGAAGCTCATGAGAAACGGAAGAGACCACTAACCAAAACACACCCAGCCATCGCTACTACGAAAGTTGAATCACGACGAAGTCCAAGCGACACACATGTAGTGAAGATAAGTGACAAGCTCAGAGCGGGAAAATACAAAACGAGGACCCAAGGAACGACCTTCCCGGAGCTGGAACGGAGAAAACTGCCGGGTCTGCATGAACGTCTTTCTTTAACAGTAGAAAAGAAGAGAGCACACGTGATTCAAGGCAAGGTTTCGATCAGTACAGTCTCGTCCACACCCACAGATACCATTACAACGTCCCCCGGAGATGATTAGTCCATGGACCCGGTCCCTATCGTTGACGTGGCTCGTATATCCGACTTGCAAGTCTGAGCACCGGAAAATCTTGGTGGCGAGTAAAACTCTCACCATGTCATACGTATTCCATGCATATCAGTCAGTCAGCTCGTGGGATGATAAATATGGCCTCGGAAAATGAGTACCGGGATCGCTTTGGGCCGATTTTTTTATATCATATTTTATGTTTGGGCTCGTGGCTACCACGATCACCACGTAGAGAGGAAGGTTCCGACGACGACGACGACGCCAGTGCTACTGCACGATGATGTCACCGTGACAGCGATGAGAAGGAATTTGGGCGGATCATTCCGTTCTCTGAGCCTGTCCGCGTTCGGAAGAGACCAAAATGTGGTCTCGTTCTTCGTTCCCACTCGACGATGCACACAAGGCACGGCCTACAGATCTATGTAGATCTCGCTCGAAGTGGTAGTAGGAGCTTAGGCCCTTCCCCTCCCCTCGTCTTGTCTCGTCTCCTCGCCGAGCCGAGGTCTAATCTATGGCCATGTGTAACGTCTGCTTCAATGTCGTCGGAGCCCTTGTGCCCTCGCGCGCTCGTTCCGTCGGGCGCCATTCAAAAGCAAAAGGCAAAAGGCCACGAGGTTCCAGGTCACACGTCGCAAGTGGGCACTGCCCTCCATGCCCGCTCGCTCGCTCGCCGGAGCGTCGACATTTACCGTTCGGTACTAGAAAACGGCTTGGATTATCCGTCCGTCCGTCAAGAATACGTTTGACCGCGGCGCTCCTGCTGATTCGAAATGCTTAATATTCGATGCTGAACGTCCCCCGCGCCCGCTGCCTCGCCCGCCGGCGCCCGGCCGAGTCAAACACGTTACTGTACCATTGATTTGGGTGGCAGGAGGGCTCGATGCGACCCACCATGCCGACATGACTCGTCGATCGCTAGCTAGCTCATGCTCGTCGTCGAAGGGTATGGTGTGAGAGATTCGGCAGAGCAAGTGGAGGAGTGTGGTATTGAAACAGACCTCGGTCGCTAAGGTCAGCGGGTCGCGTCGAACGAATCGAAGCTCGCGGTCGTTCGGAATGGCTCTATGTGCGTCACTTCCCGCAGCGGCATGGCGGAGCAGATCGGCGAGCGAGCGAGCTGATTAGCGAGGGTGGGAAATCGTGGGGTCGTAAGTCTTGGAAGACCGGGACGGAGACGACTCGCTTCGTCCTCCTCTCATAAGTGTTCGAGGACAAAGATGGAGGATAGTAAATTCGTGAAGTGGGTTGGTTTGTTTGTTTGAGTTCCGTGACTTCTTTATGCTGCGAGTAAAGTGAAGGTTACTTCCACAGCGCCATGCGCGCTCTTCTCTTAAGCGTTAAGCCGCTGAGCAGAGCAGAACAGAACAGAACGGACGTGTGACTAACATGATCAAATAGATTCCGGAACGCCAAGTTGCCGAAAAGCAACAATATGACAATCTGTCCAGTGCTGCAGGCACGTTTCAGACCCTCTCCCGCAGCGGCAGCAGCAGCCGCATTATTATAATTGTAATCCAATCATTCATGCCTCCCTCACTCCCTCCCTCCCTGGCTGGGAATCTCGAGCTCAATGATCATCAGCATAACAAACGAGCCAATCAATCGAACAACCGCACAGCAGATGAACAACAGCAAACGACTGATTACGCACTGTCATTTCCCCGCTCGCTCCATTCGTATCCTACCGAAGTCTTGGGGGTTGAGATGCGGAGAAAGAAGGTCCCTCGCTCAAAACAAAAAGGCGCACCGGGTCGACAAGACAGCTCGTCTTTTGACGAAGTGCGTGAGACTCAGACAGAGACCGAGACAGGAGGGACAGGACGAAGCGAGAAAGCCCCGTGATTTTTTACACCGGTAATTGTCCTTTCCCCCAATCAGCGCCATGGAGCGCCGGTGGAAGCCATTGCCAACTTGTCGACGCAACGTAACGTTCTCGCCCATGGCTGGACATCTGGCAGGAATTAGTCTCGTTCCAGAAGTGGCGGTCAACAGGAGCTGGCGTGTGTGTTGGACCTTGCACAGACGTACGTTCTGCAAGACGAGATGCGAGCACCGCAGCGGTCACTTGCACAACTGGAGCAGGAGCAGGAGCAGTCATGCGAGCGACGAGTCATAGTCTTGAGCCAATGCCAGTCCGAGACCGAGCTCCTCGACTGAAGTAACGCCTTCCATGAAATGGACGGGCTGCTGCTGCCGCTGCTGAGAAACCTGGCAGCCCCGCATCTCGGAATGTGCAGGCGGGTCAGACTCTTGTGAGAGGCCCGCGAGAAGATTTGCTGCCGCCAGCGAATCTCGCTCCTCTGGTTTAAACGTGTGGTTAGGTTAGGTCGCGCTTGTATTCGTCGTAGTTGTAGGATGAAGACGATGAGGAGTGTGGGCTGTGTCTGACCAGACGCAGACCCCTGCACCAAGCCTGTTTGCCAAGCCAAGAAGTGGCACAGAGAGAAAGAGAGTAAGAGAGAGAGAGAAAGAATTGTTGATGGAATCTTGGTCCAGGGGCTGAATTATTTTCCTAGTTCATGAATGAACGAATGAATGGCATAACGTAAGTATGAGCAGACCACAGCACATCAAGTGAACTAGGTCACATGTTACCGGAAGATGCGAAGCGACTAAGCAAGCTCGCTCGATCGCTGGCTTGGGTTCGTTCGGTTCCAGTTTTTCAGAGCGAGAGGGTGAAAGGCAACTACTTCGATGGTGCTTGGGCCAATACGACGCTCTGTTGAGTCTGAGTGAGGGTCAGGATCGCTGGCTGACTGTCTGGCGTACTGACTATGGGAAGAAGGACTGCTTTATAGTTACCGTTTACGAGTGGAGAGAGAGAGAGGAGAAGCATAGCAGCAGCACATGACTGTGAGTCATGAGTTAGAAGGAAACAAAACCTGAGCCAAAGTGGAATGGCAGGACGAGTCCAGATACTTTTCGGTCGTCGCTTTTGGTAACATGTCAGTGACTGAGTGCAGAGTTGCATTGAGCATTACTTTTATCTCTGCTGAGGGAGTATTTGATTGTTGTGGCAGAGAGACTCATAAGAAGAAAGGAAGGGAGGAGAGCGATGACTTGATTGATGAGTTCAGCGAGTCTATCAGAGCAGCAACCCAAAGATCTTATCGTAACATAAGATGCTCCAGCTACACGAGAAGTGATGGAAATAAATTACGAGACTGCCTGCCCCGCCCCTCCTTGATCCATACAGACACAAATTACAGCATATTCTGTACATCCTAGTACTGGACTGACTGACTGACTAGAATCACATGATTCTCTTGCCAGCCTCACAGGCCCTCATAGGGTCCCTGTTGAGCTGGACCCTTCTTTTGTGTAGCTGGATGCTCGACGTTTTATCTCCAGATCTCGCGATACACGCACACTTGACCGCATATATATTCCCCGCGGTATCGTGTGTAAGACTCTACTCATATATATCTCCCATGTTTTCCTTAGGCACTACTGACTTTCCACTTTGTATATTGCAGTGCCCACGCATTCTCTATTCTGATGTTGTGATGGTTTCCACAAGTCTAATGGTCGGCAGCTGAAGTTGCTGAAGGTAGCTCGGCAAGGCGTTCCCTTGCTTTTTCTTAAGCTCGGCAAGGCGTACGCAACAGTCATCAGAATCAATGGTTAATTATTTTACGGGCTTTGTCTAAACGAATGATGTCACTATTCTTGGTAAACGCGTTTGCAGTTAAGAACTTCGCACGAGTGATTTTGCAGCGGCAATAGATTACTAACTACCGTAGCAGCATCATCTTCGATGACGCTGTGGCAAGTCTTACACCCCGGCTGTGCTTCACCACCCCAAAGAGGCAATGAAGTTCTCTTTGTCCCGAGTGAGTGTTGAAGATACAAATCACAGAAGGTCCCGAGAGTAGGTTGTACTATAAAGAATAACCTGGCCTGACTGCGCAATCCTTCTTCCCCCAGTGACCATCCCCACGGTACTACTTTCTGGCAAGGAGTGTGTGGTTAGGCCCTTGGTTTAACAACCATAGGCTGCAGCTAGTGTTGGCCGTGGAAGAGCAAATGGAGCGAGCTGGGCGTTTCCTCAGGGCAAATACGAACCTGCTGCGTCCTCCTCGTCCGGGAGACTCTGATTGGCTGGCTGGCCCAGTCTAACCGGTTTTGCATTAGTACTTGCGAACTTTGATGATTGTACAAATAGAGAGGAGGTGCTTGGACATTGAGACAATGACCCTGATGCCCAGGTGCCAGGTTGCCCGGAGTTGCATGCAACGGTCTCATGCTTCTGAAAGGGAATAGCAGGCTAATTTTCACCTTCTCGGGGTCCAAGATTTGCATCTTCCTCGGTACTTGCTCTCTCCCTTCACTTGATGTGTACCTCCACCAGGTCTCTTGAGACCAGAGGGGGAGTGAAATTTACTGCTAGCGTAAGGAGCTAGTAATAAGATGCCCCTCGACAAGAGCATATGCCACTTCCAGGTCTTCGTCGTCGGGGCAAAGCTGGACTGGTGAAGGTATGATCGTGGCTAACCGTATACGTCGTTGTTACCGTATGCAGTTTTTCCTGAGCCTGCATACCGACTTCCCCTGCTGTCATCGGTACCGGGGGACTGCCGAGTGTGGAAATTGGATTGAGTACTGCCAGCACGGCAAAGTCCCGGCTTTAAAATTATGCAAGTCAATATCCAGTCCATGAATACATAAAATAATAAAGTGTAAGAGGCATTGTCATTGATAGGCTACTGTTTCTGAGAGTCACAGTCCAGGCAAAGGTTGCAAGGGACTCTCCAGTTCTTTTGCAGTTGGAACTTGGACTTCGAGCTCGCTGGCTGTAGAGATGCTTTGGATATCTGTCAGAAAGACTTTGCACAGTGCGAACTGGAAGTGGGTCTGACTACAAGCTTTTGACTCCATACCATTTCCTTCTTGCCCTAAGCAGCAGCAGTAGATGCAGTAGTAGTTCGAAGCAATCTGCAACGGACCCCATAGCCTTCTCACACGCTGTCTGTGAATCTGTGGGTCCAGTCCAGTCTCGCCTGGACCAGCGTAGGTGTAAGCTAGCAGCTTGCAAATTGTGTCTGATGATGAGCACAGCATATACCACCCACTGGACATACAATTTGAGGAGGTAGATGCTTGCCATTTGACAGCCGGAGCAGCAGAATTTTCACACAGTGACCATGCGATATTGTGCAGTGCCGGGACGAGGAGGAGTAGTAGCACTAGTATACTAGCTACCCTGAGCCTGAGGCAACCGCTGCAAGCCTCTCAGACAGACTCCAAAGAGCTTTAGCTTTCCCATGGCACATGCAGGCTCTTGTTAAAGATATACAATCGTTGGAAATTGTTGGCAGATCTGAAGACGAAGATCGGCATCTAAGAACAACGCCTGTGCTCGAGCTGTGGGTCCAGCTGTTTCCTCAGAGAGAGAGAGAGAGAGAGTACAGGCGAATCGTCACTGCATTGACTCTATGGAAGCTTGGCCCAGGACCTGATATGCAGGCATAACTACAACTGTGCCTACTAACTGGTTCTCAGATACGAGTCCTCAGAATCCTCCCTCGCTGAGTACCCAGTTTCCTGTAGGCTAAGCACAGTGCTTTTCATTCTTCTTTTGATGAATGCATCAGACACTTCTCTGTCTGTCTGTCTTGTCTGTCTGTGCGACGATGGGCTTTACGAGAATTGGTGCTACAATCACTAACTGGGCTGATGCTAGGTGTGATATCAGACGCAGTCGAAGAGGATACGGCGGTTTAAACTACTTTCCTACACTCTCCGTCTGACATTGAAGATAGTGTAGGTGTCTGGTATATTCCTCCAAGGACGAAACAGTTAAGTCAGTAACTACCACGAAGCATCACCTTGTGGAACATGCATGTTATTGTGTGAGTAGGTGACGACCTCGTTTTCAGTGTGAATGCAATCTTCGTATGTGTATTCACGAATGAATTCGAAAGCTAATTAGTGAGCCGGGTGGAATTTTTCCTCTTTCCTTTGGTTTGATGTTCAGCAGCAATGCCAAATTCATCATCCTTCGTCATATGGTAGAATATGTTTTTCTCCTTTCTGGTTTTGAAAGTCCATGAAGTCGGTTTGATGATGGTAAATGAATAAATGACTAATTGAATATATACATTCCTCTCCTTGTTCTACACTTCATCGAGAACTTTGCTAGAGATCCGTGATTAAGGTGTTGTTAAATAATAAGGCGATGAGGCCCCATAGACTAAGAAGCTGTGATGATAAATGATAAATAGATCAAGCCAGTGGGACCCAAAGGGTCAAGAGGCTGCAAAACAAAGTACAAGCAAAAAACCACGAAGAAGGGAACAGACCAATCCCTAGAAAGTGAGGATAAACATGATAAATAACTAGGGCAAAGAAATGAGATGTCATGTAGGTCAAATTCGAGGTGAAATAAACAACTATAACAGAAATTCACAAAAAAGAATGAAGGGTAATTTTAACTCGAATGAGAGCAGTTATTAGTAGTGGTAGGTTTACTTATAATAATAATGATAATTTTCAAGCAAAACTCCACTGAATAATTGCACAAATTTTTTGATCATGGGTGAAATATGACTATGACAATCATAACACACTATATGGCATAGTTCGCGTTGACAACTAATATTCAATCATTTAAAAGAAAATGTATCTGGAGAATAAACACCAATGAGAGTCTCAATGGTAAAAGTTGTTCTTTATGGTCTATGAGAATCAAAACACTCCTTGCCAAGACAAGGACTTTGGACTTTTTATGATGGAAGCAAATCTTGAGCTATGCAAATAACTAAAACTTTCCCAAAAGGAGATATGATCGACAAAAGAGGTCCAAAGAAGTAGGAGTTGAAGGTCATACCCAACCAGTGTATATGTAACTGGCTTTGACCACTATCATTCAAGCATTCTCGCTTTCCAACCAATGTATCTGCAGCATTTAGACTATTGAACAACTCAAAGCTATAAGTTGTCATTTATGTTGTATCAAAATTAAAGCACTCCTCGCCAAAAGAAGAACTTTGGACTTTTTGTGATCAAAGCAAATTATTACAACTTTTTTGAAAGTAGATATGATCCAAAAAGGTGGTCCAAAGATGTAGGAGTTGAAGGTTATGTAAATTAAGTGAAAATTTGCAGATTTACATGACATCAGCCAGCTCAAAATTGACCGTAATCGAGTGCAATTTGATGTCTTGCATGACTACGTAACACTCATGTAACACTCTTAGCTTTATCCATGTTCCATTCCATTCAGCATCAAAAAATTCAAACGAATTCTTCCATGGAAAATATTAAGACGATTGGTTTATTATTCAACATATCAAACCACGATTAAATGTTTTCATTTGAATTTAACATCATGAATAAGTCAATCCTTGAAGGCAACAAACTGATATTTAATTTTTATTTTTTTAAACTAACACCACTATCTATTATGAATATTTTCCTTCATTCGTGTTAAAATTTTGATTTCTTGGTAAAGATTCCATATGTGAAGATAGATTTGTCCAATCTAATTATGGTCTATCAACAAACAACTTAGCTATCGGATTTTTGGATCAACATTTGGAGGTAATTAGTATGTTGAGTTGGGAATGTGTGCGGAGTCAAAGATTAACTAACCTCTACATGCAAATCATTTGTCCTGACCTGTTAGAAAAACACGACATGAACTAAAGTGAAATGACAACATGTGTTAATCGTTTCAACAATGTTACAATGTCCAAGAATAAGTATGAAATTTGAGTTAAAATTTTGATGAAATGTTTTATCTTTTGTTTGAATTGGTTTTTTTCGCCACAATTCATCATCTAGGCAAGCATGCACAAGTTCAGAAACGCTGAAGGTTCTGTAAGTTTGGACTATCAAGATGAAGTGAGGAAACTTTTTTTGCTTGCAATGTACATACAATGTAATACTCATTCGTGTAAGTAGAATTGTGTCATATATATCTTTTCTTTACTTGTTATAAGTCTGGATGTACGAAAAAGCATTCTTCCAAAGAAGAAGTAATAGAGAGCCTGGTGCTGAAACAAACAATCATCCATTTAATCTAATTAAAGTATTAAAATTAAGTTGAAATGTCAACACATTTTATTTTGAAGTTTGAATTGCATTGGAAATATTTTTTGTGTGTTATGATGGAATTTATACATTGTAAATATGAAATGAATTGTCTTACACAATATATATGGAATTGTATGCTATTCTCCATTATTCACAAATGCATGATCATATATCAAAATTAAAGTAGCTCATAAATGCACTAGATGTTCCTCGGATACCAAACTTGATAATCAATCATAAGGTATATGAGGTTGAGATTTTATTTGAAGTTGCAAAGTATCTAAAATGAAATATTTGATTTAATGAAAAGACAATTTATCACATTAATAAATTTGAAAATCTAATCAATTTTCATTTGATAGCTTAAAGTTTGATCATGCGCCATTATCATTAAAGAATTTGATTTTACTTGTTTTAAAAAAGTTGAATACTAAGGAGATAGATTTGGTTGAAATCAAAATAGAGATTATTCAAAATAAAAATAGATTATATCATAGGATAAAGATGAAAACTATGATGAAAACTATTGACCATAGTATTTATCATAGTATTATGATGAATACTATGTCAATAATTTGTATGTTTAATTGATAAAAAATTGAATGTTTTAATCAAAATTCACACGTTATCAATCTTTGTGACTTTTATTGATATTTGTTATATCATTCATTTATTGATCATTGAATATTGAGAGTAGTGTTGGATATAAATATTTACTATCATATAATGAAAAGCTCAAAGTTTTTGTTATTGATATAAGTTATATCATTGATGTATAAAAAGTCATGAATGAAGATGAAACCTTATCATTGTGTTTATTTTGAAAGATATACATAAGATATGTTGATCTCTTCTCTTAAAATTTTTAGTGTAATATTTTTATTGATAGTATTATTTTGATTGATTTTAGATTTCATACAAAATTATAAATGTTGAAATTTTAACAATCTAAAATAAAAAATGAATGAAAGCAAAAATAGTTTTCAAATTATATCAGATCTACGGAAAAAAATCGGATTGAATATTTTACATGGAGGAACGTAGACATTATCAAAATGAAGCAGTATTCATATCATCAACATGGTCCAAAAAATGATTGATTTTCATTATGGAGGCTATAAAAACCAAATTTACTCTACCTAATCAAGTTAGATTAATCGCTGTTAAAAATATCTATTGCATAGATGAATGAAAATAAAATATTAGAAATAAAAATACTTGATATCTTACTCATATATTAAATAAAAATAAAATAAGAACATATATTCTTCATTATATGATAAATTTTTTAATTGTGACCTTTGGAATATTGACCAAAAAAATATATAAATATGAATAAGCTGTATACATTGTGAATATTATTTTTAAAACTTTTGCAATGTTTAATTTGTAATTTTTTGAAAATTGTATCTAATTGATTGCAAAAAATAATAATGATTTTGTAATTTTCATAAAATATATAAAAAAACTGAAAGAAGCATATTAGAAAATAGTATGTACACAAATAAAATTTTCATCAATTTGTAAATTTTGTTGACTGTAATTGTTTGAGTGCTGGCTACATATTTGCATTTTCATAAATCTAATATACAAATATTGTAGATTTTATTAAGGAATATATAGATTTTTTTGATTGAAAAGATACAAGAGCGAAGACTACATCATTTGACTAGGGAGTATCGTCCAAAAAAATAACATGGTTTGCTTGTATGCTAAATCAGCGCAAACATCTCACAGCTTCATTGAAAGTGTTTGGAGCGACAAGTCAAATTATCACGCTAAGTTGTATAGTTATGTCAAGAGACTTAGTCATAGCCAACAAATCATAACGCTGAATCCTAGTATCATTACGGCAGTCAACAGTATACATGATTGTGATTAACCCTACAATCTTCCTCTTAACACATGTCGGGGTTAGCAACCTTCATAATCTATATAATTACTTTGCGAAAAATACTAGAAGAAAATGTTACAAAGTTTTTTCTTGAAAGAAGAGTTAACTAAAACTAAATCGTAGCCAAAACATGATAGAGCAAAAAGTATAAATGTAACTAAAATGCTAGTAAACTCTATATATGTTCCTCATGCACAACTTGCATAGTAACATAATGTCTTCTAAAGCTTTTCAAAGGAACAACTTTGATCAACACATCAGTTACATTAAATTTATTAGCTATCTTGACTAGCTCAATTCTTTTATAAAAAACTACATGTGTGATAAAGTGATACATGATGTCAATGTGCTTCACTCTACAGTCCATAATTTGATTTGCAACAAGATATAATGCTCTTTGGCTATTTAAGTACAGATGATAATCATTAGTTTTGATCCAATGTAAGTATTAAGTCTATTCAATCAAAGAAATTTCTTTGCTGATTTTTCTTCCGCTGCATTCTAAGCTTTTGTTGTAGACTGAGCTACGCACTAGGTGTATCTTCAACTAATGCATCCAACATAAAATGTGAAGATTTACCTAGTTGTAGATTTCCTCTTGTCCAGATCTTGTACATGGTCAACATCCATCGTAGCCATGCAAAAATTTAACATAGTGTAATAAATATCAAACAATAAACCATAATTTTTAATACTTTTCAGTACCTGAGAATACATTTTCACGTTTTCCAACGTTTCTTTCCTGAATTTGATTTGTACATGCTTCTATCGCTCATAACTAGAGCAATATCCAGCTTATGATCAACATCAAACATAAGAGTATGCCCACAACTTTCTCATAAGAAATTGATAACATCTTTTTTTCCTTTTATGAAATAGATTGGACATTAACTGAAAAAAATTTTGAAGTGTGCTGCCAAAACAATCCATACTATTTACGAGTTTGGCATCTTAAACTTGATTTGATTAAACCATAACTTCTTCTTCTCCAAAATCCTATGAATATTCATATATAATATACTCTTAGACTTGTCAAATCCTTCATCTTAAATGTAGAGTTTAGTTGGGTCTT